CCTCGTGCGTAAGCGAGTACAGCTTGTATCCCGGCGACGTCATGGCATTCCAGCATCGCTCTGTGATATTACATCTGCCGGCGCTCGCCGTAACCGAGCTAAAACGAACGCACACTCAGTATACATGGCCAGCGGCGGTCGTCAACATCAAACGCGTGCGCGCTCAAGAGAGAGAGAGACAGACAAAGAGAGAGAGAGAGAGAGAGAGAGAGAGAGAGAGGGTGAGAGAGATAGATCCCCGCTATGACAGGGCACTCGTCGCACGCGCGCCGTTATCCGCGGGGGATGCGTCAAAGCGCCCGCGCGTATGCAATGAGTAATCGCCACGTTGCTATACGAGTTCGAATACGTGTTTCCCGACGATATTACATCCACCTTATTTTGCTGCGTCGAAATCGCATATATAACGACGCGGAACCGGAGGCGACGCCGATCGTAACGACAAGCGAAGGGTGCTCGTCGCGGATTCGGGAAACATCGGGATGTAACCATAGATACGGCGCGTAACACAGGCTGCGCCAGACAAATGAACTCGTTTCTACTGTAAACACTTTACGCGTTTTACAACTGCGGACTTCTCTATGTACCCGGTGTTGAAGAGTTCTGCAAGGCAGTCGTCGGATTCGGTCTCTGATATGGCTTCATCATCGACTGTCGGCAATCCGATCATCGATATAGCAACTTGACGCGACGGGTAGTCCAACTCCCAGAATCCGTCGGCTAAAATCGGTCCGATTTCTAAAGACAAATAGAGAAAAGAGAACGGAAGAGACGAGACAAAAGACAAAATGTCGACAAGGACGAAACATCAAAACATGAAAGAGAAAAGAGGAAAGACAAAAGGCAAAAGGCAAAAGATGAAAGACAAATGTCAAAGGACATACAAGACAAGGGAAAAGACAAAAGACGTTCGAGACCGCTGAAAATCACGAACGAACGAAACGTCGCCCCGCTGTTATTTCAGTGGTAAATATTTCAGCGGGTCACAATTTTATCGCCAATGCACGCCGCATCGCATTGCGCTCGCGCCTCGCGCCTAGATGAACGTGAAAGCTTCACGGCGTCGGCGTCGACGGCGACACCGCTTTCAGCGCCGGGAATTCGTGCATGCGTGGCATGCGAATTAATCACAGCATAACGCGCTTTGCCCGCGCACTCCACCGCTATATAGCCAGCATGCATGGCATCGATGGAGATCTAAACGGATCTCCGCGTGTGCGGCCATAATGTCTTTGCGCGCCAGCGTTCCCGCGATTTTACGTGCTTACTATAGAAGTACTTCGGTTCGGTTTTCTTTACGACGAGTTCGCCCTCGTCGCTGATGTTCTGCGCGAGTAGCTGCAGCGATGCAATCTGTGAGAGAACATCGGCGATCATGGGATCCGTCTGTATGACGCCCTTCATGTGATGTCCAAGCAACACCCTGAGCTGGCCTGTGGAATAGAGTATAACTAACTATACTATAATATAAATAACTAACTAGTTAAAATATAGATAATA